TGTCTGATGTAAATACTGTTGCCTATATTAACTTCCATACCCGAACGAATCGGGTTTCCGACATGTACTTTCTGGTCTGTGTCAGTGTGCCATTACCGCTATCAGCCCCAATACTTTTTGGTTTCATATTTTCCTGACGTCCCCAAGGGACGTAACTTTCCACATCAGCACATGCTGTTTCTATTATTGTTACGTGCAAGCACTGCGTGTTATATTTTCATATCCTTTCCTTCACCACAATCTGGAGCTTGACATTAAACAAGCAAAACGTCATTACTAACGCATTTACCTTCTGGATACATGCTTGCAAACGACATCGTGTAGTTATTGCATGTTGCAGAAACCTCCTGGCATTAATCAGTCAGCCATTACGTGCATCCAAGGTCAGGTCAGAGGTCACCTAGTGCCAGTTTTCGACGATTTACGGCATATGTCGAAAAGTCCGCGTTTGACATAGACCATAGCCATGGTGTAACGGAGGAGAAAAGATCGCTTTGATGCACATACGGCTGTTGGGGAAGATACATTATAAGGTGGTGATTATCGTCGGATACGTGGGTCGGTCTTGGCAATCTGTTGGCAGTAGCTGTAGAATACAGCAATGCTGATAATGGGAGAGTGGAAGTACACTTCCACCGAGTTATAGGTTCAGGGTGTGGGGATGTCAGGCTACCAGTCTGCTGTTTGTCAGTGAAGAACGTTAAACTATGGAGGAATGTATTGTGGACGCAAATACCAGATGCGATGATACGGAGGTTCTAAGAATGTGAACCAAATGATATGCCAATTGATTTGAATTCCTATCTGTGACGAAGTTAAATGACACAAAGTAGTCATGCGTAACCATGTAATTAAGTTGATATTAATAAAGTTTTGGGATGAACAACCTTATTGCAATAATTGTTATGAAAATTTTGTTCATCCATATATTTTACCCTTCCTTAGTACATCTTCTAGACTTGCACAAGTCTCTATGGTAGTAGGTAATAGTTTTAAGTGTTAATTTCTAAAAAATATAAATATCCGTCCTTATGAACTGTTCCCTTATCTAGACTTGCCACTTTAAAGAATAGAATTACTATACATCCATCGGCTTAGCATTCAGTACAGCCTTCGAGCAAGGCTCTACATCTTCAAAATGCCTCTGAAAAAAGTTACGAGTCATGCTTTTCGCTTTCAAATATCATATGTACATAACATTTTGTACGTCTTTCAGTTTGGATGAAACTAAACTATTTTTTCTCAAAGGTTAAATAGTTGTAAATGTGTTCAAATTAAACGAGTTAAACCGTTTTACTTTTATTGGTATTGAGTGGGTGGGTTTCTGTTAGACTATCATCTAGTCACAGAAATAAACATATTTTACAGATAAAACGGTGTCTTAAAAATTATTATGTTCTTGGCATATAGTAAAAAGGAGCTCATAAACCTCTAGACTTCGCATATTCTAGACAGGAATCGGCTGCAATGGTTATATTTGTTTCAGAGTATGATAGACTAGGTTTCTCTTTACTCCGTTTTAGCAATGTTCTTCGTAAATGTATCGTCACAGAACACATAGTCAGAACACACAATCGTACAGACCCTGAAGCAAATATATCCAAGAAAGCCCACGCAAGTCTAGAAAATGTGGCAGGTCTAGCTTTCCTCAGCTAAATGTGAAAATGAAGAAAGTCTCAGGGCTCCTTTTCATTATATATATTATATTTTACTATGAACTTTGTTCAGTAAAATATGTTCATTTCAGAGACTAGTTGTTAGTCTATAGAACACATATTGTACCCGTGTGGGGAAGCGAACGTTGTAACCTGGCCTCCCTCTCCTGAAGGGTGAAGACTTACTTACATACAGCATTGAGGTTTTCTCAAGGTTTTCTGGGGGTAATCACAGATAGCACGTGTGTTATCATCATTATTATATCGCTCGTGCTTCGCTCGGGACTCTGCCATATGTTCACACACGAAGTCACAACTAGTCCGCTGCAACAGTTACAGCGCCAAAATCTCTGGAATTACACGGCCTTAGTGGTGTTTAAACTTCACTCTGCTTCTGTAAATATATAAAATAAATCCTGGAGTTCGTATGTCGAACTGAATACATTTGAAAACTACTCCAGTTACAAGATTTTTGTTTGTTGGTTGTTTCACGCCGCACTCAGAAATAATCTACTATATGGCGGAAGGCACATCTGATATGCTAAGTTGCTATCTCGTTTAAACAGTCTTGACCTAGAGAGCCCTAAGAGTTATCTACCCCTTGTCGATTGCTGATACGGGTTCAAGGCCATCTGCCCCAGGTCAACTAATTGGCTGTTGGTCTGCTCTTGATTTACTTGTGATCTTGGAAAAGATAGGATGGAACATTGATATCTTACTTCCACTAAGTAAATACCTCTACTCAAAGTTAAGGAAAGGCAATGAGGTGGTTTCAGTGTTGACCATTGCTTAACTAAACTATCAAAGCTAAGCGAATCAGTTTTCAGGCATATACTTTCTGGTCTTGATTGTTGTTCCATTGACAATAAGAGTCCACGTGGTGGGTTACTTTGAGACTGTATTTGTAGTTAAACGACGACTTCACATTTACTTTAGTAGTGTGTGTTGGCTTAAACCCGGCTTTTACAGCACTACGGTGTCAGCATAACGTGACAGGAACGATACAAGTCTTAGACGTGCACCACTTTCACTGTGAACCCGGGTATGGTGTTGACCAGCTGATGCTTTGAGACTGTATTTGTAGCTAAACGACGACTTCACATTTACTTTAGTAGTGTGTGTTGGGTTAAACCCGGCTTTTTACAGCACTACGGTGTCAGCATAACGTGACAGGAACGATACAAGTCTTAGACGTGCACCACTTTCACTGTGAACCCGGGTATAGTGTTGACCAGCTGATGCTTTGAGACTGTATTTGTAGCTAAACGACGACTTCACATTTACTTTAGTAGTGTGTGTTGGGTTAAACCCGGCTTTTTACAGCACTACGGTGTCAGCATAACGTGACAGGAACGATACAAGTCTTAGACGTGCACCACTTTCAGAACCCGGGTATAGTGTTGACCAGCTGATGCTTTGAGACTGTATTTGTAGCTAAACGACGACTTCACATTGACTTTAGTAGTGTGTGTTGGGTTAAACCCGGCTTTTACAGCACTACGGTGTCAGCATAACGTGACAGGAACGATACAAGTCTTAGACGTGCACCACTTTCACTGTGAACCCGGGTATAGTGTTGACCAGCTGATGCTTTGAGACTGTATTTGTAGCTAAACGACGACTTCACATTTACTTTAGTAGTGTGTGTTGGGTTAAACCCGGCTTTTTACAGCACTACGGTGTCAGCATAACGTGACAGGAACGATACAAGTCTTAGACGTGCACCACTTTCACTGTGAACCCGGGTATAGTGTTGACCAGCTGATGCTTTGAGACTGTATTTGTAGCTAAACGACGACTTCACATTTACTTTAGTAGTGTGTGTTGGGTTAAACCCGGCTTTTACAGCACTACGGTGTCAGCATAACGTGACAGGAACGATACAAGTCTTAGACGTGCACCACTTTCACTGTGAACCCGGGTATGGTGTTGACCAGCTGATGCTTATAATCAGGGTAAATCTGCGATTCAAATCCTAAATATGAAAAAATCGTGGATGGGACACATCTCTGAGACAAATTTTGTCTCTCTAGACGCCTTTTCCATTTTGATTAAGTGAATGAGTGACTGTTACTTTACGCCTCGCATTATTCCATTGATCGGAATATATCGGGGTTTTCTGAGTTAACAGTTGAACTAATATTAGTAGCGAGTAATCAGTATCCTTTCACGGACATTCAGCAATACTAAAACTATAGCATGGGAGACTGAACATAATCGCGTCAGTGACAGGCAAACCAGTGGTCGATACCATGAACAACAACCCACAATCACACAACTAGCCAGGTCACACGCTTTCAATTGTCATAATGTTAGAACTACGCGGGCTCTGCCCAGATTACTGGATCTTCTGGTCGAAATTCGCCGCCATATACCTTGAAGAGTGCGGCGTTAAACAACAATTAATCAAATCTTACCAGATGCATTAAGTGCTTAAGGTCTGTTCCGTCCCGGAATCCTCGTGGCTTGACTCAGCACGCAATCTCCGTGATTGGTATGCGACTTTGTGTTAGTTTCTCTATAAATTCTCGTCTGTAGGCACCTTGCACTCATTGTAGTCACACACACACACAGTCGGGGTGTCAGTTACGTTCACAAAAGTGGCACGTCACTTCTTTGCCAAATGTGTTCCATTTGCAACAGTAGTTTAAACCATGTCTTCATTAAGCTGGGTACACATCGTTCACCAAATTAGGACCGAGTGAAAATAATGATAAAATTCGGGCTATGTTCTCCTACGGCCATGTAATACTCTTCTTTAATGCTGGTAGACTTCTGTACTAACTACCCGTGAAGATCCGGGTTAGAATATTGATCTTCAGTAACCCATGCTTGTCGTAAGAGGCGACTAACGGGATCGGGTGGTCAGGCTCGCTGACTTGGTTGACACATGTCATCGGTTCCCAATTGCCCAGATCGATGCTCATGCTGTTGATCGCTGGATTGTCTGGTCCAGACTCGATTATTTACAGACCGCCGTCATATAGCTGGAATATTGCTAAGTGCGGCGTAAAACTAAACTCACTCACTCACTCTGTACTTCAAAATACACGCACATTATTGCGAATGGTTTACGCTATATTCTATCAGTATATTGTTGTTTTGTAGTGTACGGATTGTTGACATTCTCATTGTATATTTGCAGTTGAAGGCCACCAATGTTGTTATGACTGTTTCAATCAAATATGTATCAAAGAATGAACATCACGACAGCACCGATTGTCCGGTTGCCTATGGCGCTGGTAATCGTCGCGCGTTTCTCTCTCTCGCGTCCACTCTTAATCTAGGACATATATTGATTACTGTGGCGTAAAATAATACTCACTTCCCACTCACTCATTCCAGGAAGCCCATTCTCCTGCATCGTAGACAGCGTTGGAGGCGGCTTTGTGACAGCGTTCGGCGTCGGACTTGTCGGTGGAAACTGCGGCACGAATGAGGAATTCACCGTCGTTGCCGCGAAAGGCACAGCAAGTACGTATGCGTCTTCCTGACACTGACTCTCCAATGTGAAAGACTTGTCTTACGTTACAAATACCCGCCATCGATACAAAAATACAAGAGAAACTCTTGACATCAACAATGTAATATACAAGTTCTTCCTCACATGTGCAACAATAGCTCGCAATGTCTTACTTATAACAAATATGGTATATATATATGCCCACGGTCATGATTTAAAGGGAAGTAACCGTATTCTCGTGGAAACAGGCCACCTGCTACGTCCATATTTCGAGTAAAATGCATATCAAGCAAGCTATTTCAGTCAACAATATTTAAAGGCAGGACATTTATGACCCATGGAATAGAAATCACCTGTATTTCCTACATAGCTTTGTTTTTTTCTGTCTTGATTTACATCCAATATAATTAAAGATTAATCGAAGTCTTATTCCAAGACCTGCTAATCCCTAAAAGATGCCTACGTGTATGCATTTCTGAAGTTTCTCCGAATAATATTGTTTATTATAATATCACGTGTAGGTCAGGTGAGATCAGCATTTTATAATGATCAGTACCTCACTGACATTATCAATCAAGTATTTAATTATGATATTTAAATATTGTTATTGTAACACTTTTATTCAATCTACAAAAGAGAATGTTGCACTGTAAAACATGTGTTCTCTCTCTTAAAATCAAATGGTTTCTCCTCACTGGTTGCTAAGCGACAAGAGTTTGGACATTCCGCTATAGTGCTTATATATGTGCAGAAAGGGAACATATTTGTATAGTTGTAGCATGGCTGATGGTCTCTCTTTAGGGACAACTGAACAAAATCATTAAGCTGAGGATCTGTATCTCAGGACTGACTGACTGACTGAGTTTGGTTTTACGCCGCTTTCAGCAATATTCCAGCAACATCACGGCGGGGGACACCAGAAATGGTCTTCACACATTGTGCCCATGTGGGGATTCGAACCCGGGTCTTTATCCCGCTTTAACCATTAGGCTACCCCACCGCCCCCTGTATCTAAGGAACAGGGTGATACACCAACAACTGCTTTACTAGTAACAGTGTTGCACTCGTAACCACTCAATACTAAGGCCATTTAACTAAGACGAGATATTTAAACTAAATTTGTATCTTTTACTAAGAATTAAAGGATACATTTGAACTCAGATTCGTAATCATATGTTCCTGTAACCATATATTGGGAATATGTTAACGAACAGTTATAGAGATATTTGCAAGATAATTTATAAGAGTTGGTTCCTGTAACCATAATATATGAATTTGTTAACGAACAGTTATAGAGATATTTCCAAGATGTTTATAAGAGTTGTAACAGTAAGATATGTTCCTGTAACCACATTATACTGGTAATGTGTTGACGATGAGATATAGAGATATTTCTAAGATGATTACTGTGTTGTCATAACAGTAAAATGCCCTTCTATAACACCGCAATCCAGTGATTAAGTAAGCGCTGCTTTAACATCAAGCGATGCTCCATTAACTGAGGAAGAAGTCCCAAAACAACGAATAACGAATACCAGCTGTATTGCAGTAACTTGCATGCTTACTTTCTCAAAAACATCTATAAATATATCCAGATATTCTGCGGTGGATCTATTTTAATAGCAATGGTTTCTCTTCACAGAGGACATCGACATCAAGATCGATGGCCCAAGCAAGGTGGACATGAAACGTAAAGACAACCCCGACGGTTCTACCAACGTGAGCTACATGCCCATGACACCCGGTGCCTACAGCATCACTATCAAATACAAGTCCAAGCACGTCAAGGGATCCCCCTTCAACGCTAAAGTCTCAGGTAAACGGATTCCCAGAAACCACAAAAACATCCACGCCCACACCAACATAGAGTACGGTCTTGGGCTCTAGTCTCAACTCCAAATTAAGGTTTCGTTGGCAAGAAATCCCTTGTGTGCAAACCAGCATGTAGGTCATCTTGCCATCTCTGAGGGATGCATTTGTGGCGGTTTACTCATAAGTAAAGCATTTTCTATCCCTGTCTGCGAATTGTGTTCTGTTGACGGAGTTGCATGTTTAGATAGAGCTTCCTTGTAACGGGAATGTCGTTAAAGTGATATTAACAACGAAATCAGCTATTTATTGTTTTAAAGGTGAACACTTGTGCTGCATGTGTTTGCCACAGGTTCCACTGATCAGGCAATGTATGCTAACGTTTCGGAACATCTGGTATCATCACTTAGAGCTTCATCAACATGTGTTCATGATATCATGATCATCAACAATGTACTCAGTTTTCAGCAAAGATTTCATATCATTGTGGAAATGGTTCTTCCCGCTTTTATTGTGTTCCATCGGGTCTGAAATTGCATAACATGCATTTCAAGAACTAAGCCTCATAATTTGGTTATGTGGACGACTGAATATGATATATTCAAACATCATAAATAATGTTAGCAAGAACGCGTAATTTCTTTTCTAAATCCATCACAGGATGCAGTATTTAGAAGGTAGCTCACTGGGTAAAGCGTTTGCTAGTCACGCTGAAGCACCGGGTTCGATTCAGTATGTTACGGTCAATGTTGTTATCCCCAACCATGATATGCATGATCCTATAGACGACGTACACGTTCACGGATGTTAACGTAAATACTGAGAGAAGAGTATGTTCTCATGTCCCAAAATGATCATTATTATTGAAGGGTTTGTACGGAACATCACAGTTTACAAAGGATCCTAATGTGCCCTTTCTGCTCTATGGTCGTTGCCACTTGCTTCTAAAAGGCCTTTACCCATTCTGTCAGCCACTAAATGAGCTGATCCAGACTTACTTATAAGCCAGCGCGATGTAGCTGGAACATTGCTGACAGCATATCCTCATCTTCATCCCCATCTTCATGTATGTACAGAATATGTGGGATGTGTATTTATGAAGATAGGTCTGAAGCCATCTGTGCACAGTTAAGAGATATTTTCATAACCAAGTGCCTTGTTCACTGAAGTAGATAAGAAGGCTGAAAGCCCGTCAATGACCCGAAAAACATGGTTATTATTTTTCCTCATTTTCCACATCCTGCTCACGCCTCCATATATTGTTACAATTTATGTAGTTTTTTATGTTATATGCTTTTTAATGTAAGCATGATTTAACGAAATATAATGTGTTTGACATGTTTTGTTTGTTTTAAAACACGAAAATTAAGAATTCTGAAATTGACAAAAGTCGGTAACGTAGTCTAGGGGTTTCGATTTCCAAAACATGTGAACCCATTTCTCTTGATCAGACACCGGGATATTACTGCTAAAATATTGCTGAAAGAGGCGTGCACGGGTTACTTTGCAGATAGTTTAATATATTGATACCACTTAAATATAATATTATTTTGAAACACTTCCAACGCAGAGCATTAAAACTGGAAATCTCGAAGGTGTGTAAATCTTGAATAGGACTCTCGGCTCAATGCACATGTATATATTTATTCATCTAAACATATTTCTGAAGGGACCCCCACTGAAATGTTTGTAGAATATTACAAGTTGTTACTTGGATTGAACTGACAAGGCGTTTCTCCCCTTTGTGCAGGTGAAGGCCGCAAGAGGTCACAGTTGTCTCTTGGCAACAGCAGCGTCTATTCCCTCAAGGTCATCGAGCCTGACATCGTCAATCTCAACGGCACCATGAAGTCCCCCTCAGGCAACGTCGAACCCTGCATCCTTAAGAGGCTCGGCGATGGAGAACTTGGTAGGACGCCAATGTGTTAACCCTATCTGTCATTGATGACAGGGTTCATGGAGCAATAAAGTGGTTAGCTTGACGCAAATAACCAACGTTAACGCACTTAGTCTGGAATCTAGCTTGAGTGTACGTACCACAAAGTCACAGGAAATAGCACAGCACATGTTTTACACTCAACGCATCCTTGACCTTACTAAGAACATAATTGTTGTCATAAACTTATTACATATTTGTCGAAAAAGTAACTAAGTCACACAAACCATTTTAGCGCGAGAATATGCCCGTGTGGGCTATGGTTTTAAGGGGTTTTGGTTGAACTTAAAGAAACGTTTATGCAATGTGGTGGGTAGTCTGTCTCATAGTCCCCGAACCACATTATTTCCCTACTAGCTTTCCCTCCCTGCAATGCAAAAGCCCTACATGAAGGATGTCCTTGAATCTCCCATCTTGCTGGCGCTCCTTTTCAATTTAAGTGGGTTTATTTGTTACTATCAAAAATATATATATATTCAGGGACTAAGCGTTAGTCTATGTGGTGCGGTATAAAGCGTGGATCATGTACGTTTTCCTCAAGATTGCTTCCATTAGTGACAGAAGGATCAGGTTTTCGTTATATAAACATGAGCGTTGAGGTGGTGCACGTGTAGGTTAACACTGTCTGGCTTACGGCAACGCTAATGATGCTGATGAATGGAGAATCCCCTCCACGATTTGGCGAATGTGTTGTTGTCAGGGTGGCAATCGAAGGGAAACATTCTTGCCATTCATCCTTCGAGCCTCTGATTCAAAACCTTGTGTTGTGTTTAATTAGTGTCATGAATAGCATGACGTGGCTTAACACTGTCTTACTGATACTTAGTAATAGAGATATATACAGAATCCATTACATATACCGGGATTGTTGTGAACGTAATATATTTCAACCTGTCGGCTTAAGCGAAAAAATATTCATGCGCAAAAATCAATCATATTGATACAAACGCAAAGCGCTATTACATACTGGAGCTTGCTTACGACCATGTAAATAAATACCATTTATGATAATAATTAACCATACATATATATATACAGTGTATGTACGTGTGTGGGTGTTTGTGTGTGCGTGTTTGTGTGTGCCCTCGAACGTAACTCTCAACTTCCTTGGGAGTATGCTATCAGGCGACAGAATTTTAACAGTCATCCCACTTATATTCTAATAACTCAACTTGCCCAAGTGGCGCCACATTTGCTTCAGGGTGGGACAGAACCAAAACTCTAGGAACTCCCAGGGCGTTGACCTTTCAACCGGGACCCATCCACCCTCCTACCGAACTTCCCCTAATTTGGTGTGTGTCCCGTGCGCTCTACACTTGACAACAGAATATTTGAATCTAAGCACACCACGTTTACCGGATAAAGTTATGGTGGAATTCAGCTGTTTTATTTGCATCCCGTATCAAGCTGACTCGTGCACCTCACCGTTTACACAAAAATAGTTCATAGATTAGTGCTTCCAAGAATATTATTTATAAAACAGGAATTCATTCCCCATAGTAATTGGTTTGGTTCAGTATCACTTACCGGACGTGTAATGCTTCAAGATTACTTTTAATGATGCTCTAATACTCATTTGATAATATATCTCAAAGCGGCTGGTTAAAAACAAAGTTACAGAGTACACGTAATCGCCTCGGCTCAGGTAACAATGAAACAGTTCCTGTGTTGGAATTGGGTGGCATGACTATATTCTTAGCTAGAAAGCGTGTACATAGTGCCTAGTCTCATTTCACTGTTGCTTCTTGTATTTGTTTAACGAATGTATTCAAGAACTATTCAAGAACAAAATGTGAGTCATCTGTGTCATGTAAATCGCAGACCTGACATATTATCAGGTATGTCTTTTTATCCTCCGTCAGAGAAATTTCACATCTTAACTTAAACTTGAGTGTTGGACCTGGAGCTTCAAAGCTTCAGCTCACAGCAGTAGGTACCATGGAAGCACGCTCGTTTGATGCATACAGAGACGTCATCGTATGTTTCGGTGTTACACCTTTAGATCATCTGAAACATTTCCACCATCTCCAGTCTGATAATGGTCCATACCTGTGATAAATACACGACTACACACTTCTGTACATGGCAACCTTTTATGTGGCTGCTGATATTGTGGCTGCTAATATAGCAGGTATGTTGAGCTGACTGAAGCTGCATTTGCAGGAACTGTAGTGCCTCTATTGCCGGTGGATTGGTTAGCCTATCTCACATTATTTTCCCTTCCGCCTAGCCCTTTCTGCAATGCCCTAAATGAAGCAAGTCTAGATTTCCTCAGTTTTGAATCTCCCATCTCACTGGGGCTCCATTTCAATTTAAAATTATTTGTTTCGATCAAAATATATATATACATGTATACTCGTAAGGCGCCGTTCCATCCAGCCTTTACTGAAACTCAAAACCCTAAAAGAAGCAAGTCTAGATTTCCCCTAGGTTCCAAATCCCGCCCTCACTGGGTCACTGGGGCTCCATTTCAATTTAAAATTATTTGTTTCGATCAAAATTAATATACTCGTTAGGCGCCGTTCCAAGTTATTTGTGTCTACCAAAACTATTACGCATGATAGCATATTGGGATGATCCTAAAGCATGTTGTGTAGATCAGTGTCTGTTGTTGTGCGGTATGGTGGGGGTTATCATGATGAGGATGGGATTATAACAAGGCAGGATGTGAGGGATGGCACTGTCTGGAACCTCTTCACGCCATCCATAGCTCTCAGGGGAAACTATAGCATCTGGTAACCTGCTACTTGTTACCTACTGCAGAGTAAGTGTTTGGCATCTGATACTGGTTCCACTGACAAGCTGCTATATGGAAACAGGGTTGATGTCTGCAATTCAACTTGTTTTTCAATGTGACGTCGCGATGCATGTGCTAGTGATAAGTTCTAAATGTTACTTCAACATATAGAGGTTTGGTCATTAAGTTTGGGTGGTGGTTATAGTTAGGGGTGAACGAGAAAATGACTCATCGAAAGAGAGGTCCCCAAAATGTATCACAGAGGTGTTTGGATGTGAGTGAGTAGTGAGATTAGTCTTATGCCACACTCAGCAATATTCCAGCTTTATGGCGGCGGTCTGTAAATGAAGGAGTGGTGTCCAGACAATCCAGTGATCAACAGCATGAGCATCGAACTACGTAATTAGGATACGATGACATGTGTCAACCAAGTCAGCGAGCATACTCCCCCAATCCCGTTAGTCGCCTCTTACGACAAGCATGGCTACTGAAGATCAATTTTAACCCGGATCTTCACGAGTGTTTGGATGTGAGGATGTTGGCATAGAATGATGACTCATTTGTATGTCTACATATACGTTTATATACATTGAACATTATTAGTTCACTATCCATTTATTATAGGGGAAAACGGGTTGGGGAGTGGAAGAAAAGGGTTACTTAAATGGGGTGGAGGCGGCAAAATATTTTAGCCCCCTCAGCCCTTTAATAAATGGTCAGACTATCCTGTCTTATCCGATAGTTTGCCATGTGTTTGTTGTTTTGGCTGTGTTTAATCTGGCTTACTCGTCCATACCCTTACTTAAGAGCGCCATAAGCTAGAACCTTTAACTACCACGCTCCGACAAATACATCAGCCTGGCTGCTGACACTGATGGTGCTCACTTTTCAGCCCTTATTTATACCTACATGTAAACCGAATGGACATTTGACTGATATTAGTCACAATTCCATAAAGTCACGTTATTAAAAATTATATATCTACATATAAATAAATCAAACGTAAAAGGAGCCCAGAATATACTAATAATTTCACAACGAGCCAAGTCTACAAGGGTCTAATGTGTTTCTAATAGTTTTTATATCCTCTCGGTATCAAGAGCTTAGCAATCTAGAAAGTGACATTGCACACATACTTTAGTTTTGAAACAAGGAACTGGTTCCCTTGATAGCAATATTCACCTCAGATTTTGAACAAAATAAATAATTCAAATAGTCAAAGCAAATTTGTTTTATCGCTCCCAAACTATTGTTTGCCTTCCCCTTTAAAAAATATTAGAATGTCGTAATATCAAATGGCCGGTACCTTTTTCAGCCTGAGCCCTTCATTTTCCCCTGACCTCGTGAATATACACATCCTGAAAACAAAGCAACTTCAAGATTCTGTTCTAACAAAGGGTTCTCTTTCACCTTTGCGCACAGTCTCCATTGCGGCGGCGCGTCTTACACAGCTAATGCCAGTTTATATAACAACAACGTTAATTTCCACAGACAGATGCGCTGTAGATATACCATAATCCCTCCTCAGAATGTAATTAAAACCGTAAACCTTCAACAACGGTTCCAGCTAACTGCCGCAGCACAGGGCGCCTTCTGTTAAAGCTTAAATTAAACTCTTGTATCTGCCGTTGAGTTTCACCGGCAGGCGTGCCGGAGTCCTTGGAGATAACAACAAAAACAGGTACGGTGAGCATCATATGTCGCGTGTAATTATCCTTTACGTCGGAAACTCTCGCGAGACTACACTCAACCCTCGTGTACCCCCCGAGAACATTCACAGAGAAAACCAGCACATCCACATACTGCTCAATTGATGTGGTGCCTTTCATGGGCCATGTGTCTGGAACGTTTTGAGATGTTTTGGACCATTTTCTTAGTTAGATCTAAAGCCCTCTCATTTTTCAATAGCCTTTGTAAATATTTTCTGTTTAAGAAAGGGCGTGTGTATTTTTTTATTAAGATAGACAATTGTTTCTGTCTTTCCCCCACATGTTGTTGGTGGAGCAAAAAAAAAGAATGGCATTCGATAGTGGGTACGTAGGGTAATATTTATGAGTTAATGGATAGAAGACAGGTGTTACTATTTGTGAAGAAACAGAGGAAACAACACGCACACCACGCGTAGTTTGTCTATGATAACACCGAGGTTCAAAAGTTCAAGACACTGTGAAAATAGGTAATTGAATTGTGAAGTCCTGTGAGAAGAATATGAACGTGAGTGAGTTTAGTTTTACGCCGCACTCAGCAATATTCCAGCTATAAGGTGGCAGTTTTAAATAATCGAGTCTGTACCAGACAATCCCGTGATCAACAGCATGAGCATCGATCTGCGCAATTTGGATACCATGACATATGTCTCAAGCAAGTCAGCGAGCCTGACCACCCGATCCCGTTAGTCACCTCTTACGACAAGCATAGCTACTGAAGATAATTCTAACCCGGATCTTCACGGGTCCTTTAATGAATGACGTGATTGCCTATTCGTCATGGGATCCGAACCATTTCCTTGCTCCATTTTCACTGCAGATGGATCAATGTTATCGTCTTAATTAAGTATGCCATCATGCCTGTTGTTTCAAAAAATATTCTGCCGTTTGGAAATTCAGTTGTAGAATCAGTCCCCAGTAGATACTGTTTGTGGATAAATGGGCAAAATGGATCTGATTTTGTGGTGGGGTAGCCTAGTGCTTAAAGCATTTGCCCGTCACGCCCAACGTCCGGGTTCGATTCCCCACGTGGGTACAATGTATGAAGCCCATTTCTGGTGAAGCCCGTAGTGACAGTTTCTGAATGTTGCTTCATATACAGTAGCCACTCGATCACTTCCTTGGTGCCCTACATTTTCAAAGGACCATATATACATATCACCTTAGGTTAACATCTCTTCTCTGAAATGAACATATTTTACAGAAAAAAACGGTTGATAAATTATAATAATAAAAGATATGAAAAGGAGTCTAGAGACTTTCTTCATTTTCCTGAAATTGTGGTAATCTACACTTGCCACACATTTTAGACTTGCATGGACTTTCTTGAATATGATTATTTCAGGATCTGTGTGACAGACTGGTGTTACCAGGGTCCCGACCCACAGAGCGTTCGCAGCGTTACGTCATTCGTAACCCTGTGATAAACCTTATAGAGTCACGACAGGTCGTAATGTTATGAACGCAATGTGGATCGGGACCCTGGGCAGTGAAAGATGTCTTTTTGTACTTCACACACAACTTGATGATTGCAGGTGTGGCTTCCTTCAACCCCCGAGAAAAGGGTGCATACACTGTGTACGTGTGCAGCAACGAGAAAAACATCAAGGGATCGCCCTTCACTATCAACGTTGGGGACAAAGAATTGGCGCATGCCGCAAAGGTCAAGGTCAGCGGTGCGACAGGCGATGCTTCCGCCAACAGCGAAAACGAACTCATCGTTGACACAACGGACTCCGGTGTGTATTTTTGATAGACATCTCGTTGCTGTTGCAATTAATGAATGAATGAATGAATGAGCGGTTTGGGTTTAGCTCCGGTTTGGATTTATATATTTCAGTTATATTACGGTGTGTTAGTCAATAACTCGTAAAGGAACTCAGAATTGGAGAGACTAGACATTGACAATAGAATCGTGCTCACAGTGGCATCGTTAAGACGGGAGACTCGGTAGCAAAGGCTACTGTTTTAGTGTGCTGAAGGTTGAATATCCCCCCCCTGTTTTTCACATCACACACATGCATGCACACACGTACGCACGTACGCACGCAAGCGAACACACAATACTACTCTCTCTCGCTTTACTGAACGTCTACTCCTTCCAGGATACGGAGGTCTGAGCATCAACCTTGAAGGCCCTCACCGTTCCGACGTCAACCTGATAGAGAAGAGGACCGACAGACAATACGTCATCCACTACAGCCCTCACGAACCAGGCATCTACATCCTCAACATCAGGTTCGCCGACGATCACGTAACAGGTACGTTGTACATTCAGGTCAGAATAGGGAGGGGTCCAGGAGATGTGTTGACACTACCTAAGTCACAGCTGAACAAAAGGTCGTATGACTGAAGGACCGCCCCAGTTTGATACGCAGGGTGACTGTAAGGAGTGACCACTATACCCTGTTATATAGCCAGGGTTTTGTAAACAGTGAGGTGAGGTGAGGTGAGGTGAAATTGGATTTAACGTCGTGGTCGAGAATATTTCGCTCATATGACGACGTGCATGCCTGTGTATGTGCGGCTGCTTGTACTAGCCCAGACTGAAGCTGGTTTTATAGTGCTAGCCCACTGAGATACCACGCCGCAGTGAAGCATACCCCATTCAGACACATTATACTGACTCCGAGCCGACCAGTCCTTGTTGTACCCATTAATGCCGAGCGCCAGGCAGGGACAAACAAGTACCATACTAGTATTTTAACGTCTCCGGGCGGACGCTCTTACCACTACACCACGGAGGCGGTTCCTTTTAACAGTACGTACAGTGGGGTATATATTGTAGCCAGTACTTTTAAACATGACATCGTGAGTGAGTGAGTTGTACTGATTATACCTTTTATCGCATACAAGAAAACATTATGTGTATGTACTGAACTAATAACTATATACATATAGACTAGCGTGGTCACGGATGGTCTAAGTCTACAGCATGTTCAGTCCGTTAATAGCACCAGGCTCCTATCATTACACCCGGGTTATTATGTTCACCAAATGTAAACGCCGCTTTAAGCAATAGTCTGGCATTATCACGGCGGGGACACCAGAAATGGGCTTCACACATTGTTTCCATGAGGAATTGAACCGGTGTTTTCGGCATGACATGGGAACGCTTTAACCGCTGGGTTACCACAACGCCCCACGCAGTGGCATAAAGAAAATATACTGTAGCATGCAGGTCCACCGTTGTGGCATATAATATAAAATATATGTAAATAATTATCACTGTTCACCCAGCAGAAAATGGGTACCCGGTTGGATAAGTAACCACTAACCTTCTAACGCCTCACAGGCAGCTTGGGTTATCCGGGGTATTAATAATCAGGTTGTTTTGGCGCTTCGAGCATGCATTGTGCATGGAGAAATGCGCATGATAAATGGAGTATTATTATATTGGAATTATACTGAGACATGGTAGAGTCACTCAGAAATTATGTGTGCAAGTATAAACTGTTTTCTTTTTCATATTTTTTGTGATATAGGTAGCCCCTTTCTTCTCAATGTCGGCGGCAATCCTTCCGGTCGTGTGCGTGAGACAGTCACAAAACAAATGGAGGCAGCCTCTGCCAGCGAACCCGGGAACATGTGTACATTTATTCTCCAGATTCCAGGTGAGTCCGCTCTTATACAGGAGCCATTGGAAAAGGTGTGTTAGTGATTCCGTCACGGCACTCTACATCGAACAGGAGGGAATGTCAGTGGTACACAGGCAGCGTGAAGAGTTACGTCCCTTACCTACCACGTCATGAATGAAATCATTCCTAGATGGCTCTACTCTCTCTCTGCACATGCGTCACATATGGATGTCTGGTTCTCCAATGGTATACATGAAATACTGTTCAACTGGTTGTTAAAACTCAAATGACCCATGAATTCACACCCACAACGTAATAAATGCCATGGGATGTTGGCGCACATTCTTGAAAACAAAAAATGACTATTTGATGTCATAAGTTCCATTGACATGCGTATTAATTTTTTTTATTCCATCACCATTCCTTTCGACCTCACTTTTCATTGTTTGGTTTGCGTGCATAGTTCCTCCTAAAATCACAAGGTAGTTATAGAAATGAAAATAGAATTGCAAAACAAGTATTTCTCTTGCAGATATGGTTGGGGGTGTATACATATATTGACATGCAAGACACCTGGTTCTAAGAATGTCTTGGAAATGGTGAAATCAAGTCTTTATACATGTTCATAACTGCAAAGAATATAAGAATGCTGAATTTTCAACTTATTTATCTGGGACTCGGGTTTATGTTTTACGATTGGCTGTAAAGTGTTCCTTAGAACAGCCTCTATATACTGCTGCCTATCCCTCACAGGAACAAACCCCTTCGATATGGAGGCATCGGTAACTGACCCCGACGGTACCACTGAGCTGTGTGACGTAATGGATCTCGAAGACTTCCACTACAAGATACAGTTCACACCCAAGATTAAGGGATCCCACATTCTCAGTGTCAAACACAAGTCCATGCATATCTCAGGTATGATCAAAATGCAATATAGATGTTTTAAATCTGGACTAGATAATGTTGTTCGTTGTGTCAGTAGAGATCAGATAGTTCTGAGAATATTATAACCGCTGGGTTCGCTCTCTGACAAGTTTGTGTGATCACTGAATTCTTCTGAATTTGCACTGCAGCACCCCTGAAGACTACTTAATCCCCAGTTTCATATAACGAAGTCTCGTGTTTTCAGGACGTCCGTCCACGAACTCTGTGATCCCTGCTTTCATATCACGTTGTCTTGTTTCTGTGTTTCAGGAAGTCCATTCACGTACTCTATTGGGCAGCTGAATATGGGCGGATACCATAAGGTTCAGGTCGGCGGACCTGGGTTGGAGAGAGGCGAGGTCGGGCTTCCAAGTAAGTATATGAAGTCTGATCAGTGTATGAAATAAGGCCCGTCCGACGGTCTACATTTACAGCTAGCCAGCCCGATGGTCTGGTAAAAATTTCAGATGTTACATACATCTGAGTAAATTCACCATATCTTGGTGTCTGGTCAAATCCAGATTGGGCTGAGTAACATTTTGTTACCAGTCCTGATGTCTGGCTGGGTTTTTAGTTTATTTCATACACTGGTATGATGCAACTTTCATTGTATGTACTCAAAACGTCATGCATGTTCTACACACGCAATACTACGCGTCCTGTTTTGACGTTGATGGCGTTGTTTGGGTGTCCTATGGGCTCTGTAAGCACTATAATATAAGTTATAAGTTATACAAATAAACACATTGTACAACGCCGTTTTCGACATTCTTCAAGCTTCGGGAGTGCGTTTTCCAGGAATACTTCTGTCGTTATGAAATCATTCTTGTTCGAAGTTCTGTAAGCTTTGTGTGTTTGAAAGCTTTTATGATTAAATTATTACGTTCATGAAATATATGTATCCGAAACATGGCATCGCAGGTGCAGAAGATTTGGGGCAAAGGTTATTTACGAACGCTTCCATTACAAAATCTGCTCCTTTCTGTCATCTGCTGGCAATGATGTGGAATCCAAATGGAGTGTTTCGTTTTATCAGATCGCACACTGCACCCCGAACACAAATGTGACAGTTATATATAGTTAGTGTTGAGTGTTAAAAGTCTTTAGTTTTGCTTTTCTCTATAATTCCAAATGAAAGTTTATAGATCTTGTTCTTTAGCTCTCACAAGAAGATTTTTTGGACCATTTCTGACATTCGTGACCCACTCGTGTTATTCCGGGACAAGCCGAATAGCGATGGAGGTTACGGGAAGGGGCGAGCGGTGACGAATGCATTTCTGATAGTGTCAGGCAGGTAGCGGAACTAGCCGAGTCGGCATTCGTCACGCCTCGCACTTTTCCGTAACTAGCTTTCCGGCTTGTCCCAGAATAACACTTGTTGGTCACGAATGCTGTTTCGATTCGAGGTAACGGAATTGGCCGATTGCACCAGAGTGGACCCGAATGAACTGGGAATTGAAACTTTCAATAAGCTTATAACACATACCAATAATTGTGGATGACATGATGTAACGTTGTTATTTTTGTTTCTAGATGTGTTCAATATCTACACACGAGAAGCCGGCCCGGGAGCACTGACCGTCTCCATAGAAGGCAATTCTCGTGCAGACATCAAGCTGGAACCGAGGGATAACGGTTTCCTTGGATGCAGTTTCAATGTTACCAAACCAGGTACACATGAATTACTGATTACTTCTCTAGGCAATACTGCAGGTTTTAATGATGATCTTTAAATCATCGAGTCTTCACCACTTAAACCAGCGACTGAAACCATAGGAACCTTCAACACCATTGTGGAACTCTGACACGAGTGAGTGAGTGAGTTTGGTTTTACGCCGCTTTTAGCTGTATACCAGCAATATCACGACGGGGGACAAACAGAAATGGACATCACATATCGTACCCATGCGGGGAATCGAACCCGGATCCTTCGGCGTGACGAGCGAACGCTTCAACCACTAGGCTATCCGACCGCCCCTCTGACACGAAATAACCCACATTTCAAGAGTGAGTAAGTTACGTCGCTTTTACCGATATTCCAGCAATATCAGGTATTGGGACAACAGAAATGGGTTTCACATATTGTACCCATGTGGGGAATCGAACCCGGGCCTTCGGCATCCTGATCGATCCAATTTAGTCATCTCTTAGGACAATAAAAAAGGAGAGTGAAGTGAGGGTGTCAAGAACCGGTTGGCACAGTGACAACCAATCAGCTTGGTCACTCATACAGACCACTAGGTCACTCATTAGCGAACGACAAACATAGAAAGGGCAGCGTTGACTCACAGGCCCTCGTGTGTTTGCGAGGATTAAATATGTTAAAAACACATAAAACATTTGAGATGACCCCCGACTCGAAATGCTTCACAGAACAATGCATTATGTCATAATGTATTGTACTGTGTAGCATTTCGAGTCGGGGGTCATCTAAAAAAAATATTCTTTTTAATCTTTAATCTTCGCAAAGACACGAGGGCCTGTGGCATGACTGTGTGAAACATGGGTCTCCAGGGCTACCCAGGTGGGTTAGCTATATACCTTTTAACATCAGATTTCAGATTGATATAACCTAGTTTGTTATCCCACCAAATACAAAGAGAAATGTAGCGGCAGAAAAAGCATATTTCGAGTTTCTACAAAGTTGGAAATTCAATCCGAGGCGATACAAAATAGTTCGGCCAAAAGATTGCTAATGGACAAAACCCCTATATACTAGTATTTCGAATAACGGCGGAGGAAAACTAAACAAGTACTGTAACAGCTTTGTAGTTATGGTGAGTGAGTGAGCTTATGACCGCTGTGAGCAATATTCCAGCAACGTCACTGGACACTACAAAATGGTTTCACGCAATGTACTTCAGTGGGGAATCGAACCCTGGTCTTCCGTGTGATGAGCGATCGCATTAACCACAAGGCTAGCCCAACGACCAAATATCCGTAATAGCATTAATATTGCTCTGTAGTCAATAGGGTTTCCATCACAATATATACCACCGGGTGTGAGGATTAAACGCCTGCACTGTAAACCGTGGCTCATTTCTTTTCATTCTGGCTGAAGAAAGTACATGTCGGAATATCGGCTTATTGGCCTAATTTTCCAATGCTAGTGGGCGCCATGGGATAATAATTATGCACACACACACACACACACACACACACACACACACACCACACCCCACCCACACCCATCTCAAAGAGAAAATGCCCACTTGGAATATATGATTTGTTCCTCGAAACAAAAATGTGACATGTTATTTAGCTGTCACTACCACAAAAATATGATTTAATGGTTACATCATAGAGAATGATTTAAACACACTTGCGGTGGTGTAGCCTAGTGGTTAAAGCGTTTGCTCGTCACGCTGAAGACCCGGGTTCGATTCCCCGAATGGGTACAATGTGTGAGGCCCATTTCTGCCGTCCAACGCCGTGCTATTGCTGGAGTATTGCTAAAATCGGCCTAAAACCATAGTCACTCACTCACTTTATGCATTTTATCACACAACGCAGTTGCTGTTGCTGTTGCTACTGCTGTTGCTATGACAACACATTTCTTTATCTCTTTAGGCATGTATGGTGTCCACATCAAGTATGAAGACAAACACATCCCCAACTCCCCCTTCATGGTGAATGTCTCCCCCGACAGCGGAGCGACGAGACAAGTCACCGTTCACTCTCTCAAGGATAGAGGCCTACAGGTACGGTTGGTTGGATGGTTTGTTGTTTAACGCCGCACTCAGCAATATCCCAGCTATATGGCAGCGGTCGGTATATAATGGTCTTGACCAGACAATCCAGTGATCAACATCATGAGCATCGATCTACGCAATTGCGATACGATGACATGTGTCAACCAAGTCAGCGAGCCTGACACCAGATCCCGTTAGTCGCCTCTTACGACAGGCATGGGTTGCTGAAGATCAGTTCTAACCCCGATCTTCAAGGACTAAACCAAGGACCTGTCGGTCCGAAGTCGATACGAGTGGGGCCTTCATGTTCAATTGTGGCATGGTATTTCAGTAGGCTAATACTAGAAAACCGGTACACACACACGTACGCACGCACGCACACAGGGTTAATGAAATAATCTTATAATAAGATTGGTAAAGTTGTTAATAACGCTGACACTCATTCTTCTATCCCTCCTCGCCTTCTTTCATTTTAGGTTGACCGGGCGTCGACCTTCACCGTGAACTTCAATGGCGCCAAGGGTGCCCTTCATGCAATAATCAGAACGCCCTCTGGTGGTCACGATGACTGTTTCATCCAGGAGATGGACACTGGACTGTTCGCCGTGCGCTTCATCCCAAGGGAGAACGGCGTCCACTACGTCGACGTAAAACTGAATGATGCCCACATTCCCGACAGCCCCTTCGCCGTCATGGTAGGGTCAACCGCAGCTGATCCAGCTATGGTTACCGGATCTGGAGATGGACTGGAAGTGTGCAAGTGCAGTATGTATATGTACACCGCTTTGTCTCTGATGTTTTTTTTAAAAGAGTCAAGTAACTAGATTTCAATCAAAATGTTTGATTGTTGTTTAACGCCGCACATCAATATTCCAGCTATTTGACGGTAAATTAATATGAGCTCCGGGAGTTGGGAATTGTAATGAAAGTGTTTGTCTGTTGTTTAACGCCGCACAGCAATATTCCAGCTATTTGACGGTAAATTAAAAGCTCCGGAGTTAATATGAGCTCCGGAGTTGGGAATTGTAAGCTCCGGGAGTTGGGAATTGTAATGAAAGTGTTTGTTTGTTGTTAAACGCCGCACTCATCGTTATTCCAGCTATATATGGCGGGAAATGAGATGGGAATTCTAATCATCTAACATTACAGTAATCACTGGGCGGAATGGAAAACGATATGGCTTATGGGCTGTGCTTGTTTCTTTGCCGCACTCAGCATTTTTGCAGCTATATGACGGCGGTTGAAAATAATCGAATTTCAACCAGACAATCCAGTGATTGATGTCATGACCATCAGTCTACGTAACTAGGATACGATGACATGTATCATCCAAGTCGAGTCTTACCATCTGATAGCGTTAGTCGCTGAAGATAAGTTTTAAAACTGATCTTCGCGGATCTTCAAACTGTGAGACAGACTGTGCATATCAGGTGAATCAACATTTATCTGAAAGAACAAAGGATAGACACGCGATGATTGTTTCAGGTCAGAAGGCCAAATTCGTCGTGAGGACCGCTGGTGCCGGCTCCGGCCTCTTGGCCGTCTTCATCGACGGACCGTCCAAGGTATCCCTGAGTTGCCATGAGGTTGACGAAGGCTACGAGTTTGTATACACGCCTTTCTCCGCTGGGGACTACCTCATTACCATCAAGTACGGCAACATCCCCATCGCTGGCAGCCCGTGGAAGGCAGTGGCTACAGGTAAACACTGATCACACTGTATGAAGAATTGGTGCTGGGGTACACTCGATACCAGGAACTTACAGCCAATTCGCTTTTAATGTTGGGAAAAAATAATATGTTCTTTTATTCAAAACAGTTCAACTGATACCTCATATAATTCATACAACTGTTACATAAGTATAAAAAGTGAAATATATTTACTGAATAGTGAGCCAGAATTGCCCGATTTCAATGTGTTCACTCTCGAAATTGTGTCAGATTCATTTTGTTTTTGTTGTTTTAGAGTCTGAGAATGTTTGAAATGATACTAAGATCATGATTATAATACTCCTGTATTTTTATACACCGTATGCTGCTAGGGACGTGGGTTGGTTATTGTTGTCTTTGTAAAACAACCGTTATGCGTCTTTTGTCTGTGTTGTCTATTAATGTGAGTGACATGCAATAGTACCAGTGCTGTCCAGCATGACCTGTGTTGTACATATCGTCTTGTCCCGGTGCCGTATTAATGTATGGCCGTCAGTATCATTTACATGTTCCCCATCTCCCGCCGATCCAAAATTATCGGCATATTCAAATATAACTACATTTATACCCTCCCATTCGCCCTCCTTAATAATTATCTTGAAAATGATGAATGTCTCGTTGAATAAACAGCAATATTGTGTTCAAATTCAGTTCTTGGAAATATTTATTCCATCTTGTCAGATCATGGCGTTTTCCATGTATAAGAAAAGCCCGTTTGAAGCATGTTAAAAATCATACGACAATTTCTTTCTTTAAAGCTGTATAATTTTGGGCACAACATCCCTTATATTCAAATCAAGTGAACAATTTAATTTTTATTTTGTAAACTCCGATACCACATTTTTTTCCATTATTTTTATATATAGTTATCTTTGATTATTTTTATTCTTAAAGAAAAATATGTTTGTGTTTCTGTCAGCAATTCTTTCGCTCTGAAGCTGTGTGTGGAGATGAAACATGCTAAATAGTAAAGACGGTCTAAGTTCAACCACCCTTCCTTGTTCATATAATTCACAACGAATCATTCCCCATCAATCCAATATCCTAACATGTAAATCTATAGTGGCTTAAATGTCTACTCTATACATAAAAATCTGTAATTAGGTTGCGAACATCACAATATATTAATCTCAATCCAGTCAACCACAAATCAAGGCGATTAGTTAGCATCAGGGTGAAAAATGTAAGATCATTCCTATTGTGAGATGTAACTATTTAATTCATATATTGTTTGACGAACCTCTTTTTCAGACACCAAGAAAGGGGTTGTGAGTTAGTACCATTCTGTATACGTTAATATTCTTGAGTAGCGGTTGTGGGGACAACTGCGTGGTCCTACAGTCTATAAATATCTTTCTTATCACTGCATGATAACCTCTCTTGGTTCAAGGTCATCCAAAGTGTCTCTACGGTGATCTCACGCTTCTCTCGCAAGCTAGACTCAAACTCTGCAACAAACAGACACACACATAGACGATATATCGCTTTTGCTTATCTTTTTCTATTCTATCTTTCCGATTTGCTTAAAAACAATCAGATTCTTATATTATCATCGCCTCCTTGATACAGGTATAGATACCGACAAATGCATGGATAGATACGGCTTTCTATTAACCTCCTGTCTCTTCTATGCCTGAAATCTAACATTAAATATCTTTCTACGATATGACATAGATAGATATCACATCTGCATAATATCTGCATCATACCTGCGTCGATGCTCACAGCGGCATGGCTTACTTCACGTACATTGTAAGATAAACAACAACTAATGTAGATAGGTTTTAACGTTTGAAAAACAGGAAATGATTGCGAATGTAACTCATTGGAAAATATAAGTGTCGTTTATATTAATATTCTTACATAACTATCAGTAGGTGTGGTAAGTATGGTCTGTATATAGTGACTATGATAATTTCTGTTACCGATCTTATCACATTGCAGGCAGCCTCTGTATGTCTATGAGAAAAACAACCCAATTACGAAGTTACCAGTTAAGGCTCTGGTTCGTGAACATCTTAAGCACCATCCTCATTTTGAATTAGCCCACGACCTGAACAAATAGAAAACTGTCAACTAAAGTATTTTTGAAAACAAATTCAGCACATACACCAATTCAAAATAGCAGGGCGTTGTAGCACGCCTGCAGCATACAGACGCCCTGTTCTGTGACTTTAAGGATTCACAATTCCCCTCTTCCAACCCACTCTGAACCTATGTACAGCCCAGCTTATCTGGTTTTCCAGATGGATCTTTCAGCAAAGGTAACATCAAGAGCCGATCCAAACAAGGTGGACGTCGGTTGCTAACCCGTGTTGACCACAGCATGTTCTCTCTATAATCCCTGTAGGCATGACTGTACAACAAGTATATTAATACGTAGCTGTTGTAGTACATGAATAACTGCTCATTTCACTTAATCTGTATTGCAAATAAGGCTCCCTGTGCCTTTAAGTAATACATTTTATGAACATGAACAGAAATACATGAACAGGTCACTTTAATGAATCTGTTGCTAGATATCCTCTGTGAAAAATTTTCTTGAAAATATTATTGATAGATCATCTGTGCTCTTTACGTAGCTCATATTAGGCAATGCCGTGACTTGATGAGGTGTGTTCGAAATTTAAAAATATTCCTAGATTCTCTAGATTAGTGACTGTCGATATAAATATTGACGTTTTTTTGTTTCCCCATGAACAAACCTGTGTATCCCGACCGGTTATTATTAAAAACATTCCATTGAAGTCGGAATGCATTTTTGTACAGTCCTGTACCTTTTCACCGCCTTTCGATTCCCCCTTCGAATGTTTAACACATGGACGATGGTAATTACCAGTTGGTGATAAAACCCCAGCCCGAATCTGATAACAATCGAATGCATGATATTTAATTGTGTGCCTGTCCATAATATGTTAGTCACGTGACAAAAAATAACACGCGAAGGGTGTGCACTAAACTGCCCCGCTATGATTAATACTAAGAATATTTCAATGTACAGTTGTCTTTTGTTAAGTATAGTCCGTTTATGTCTTTGGGTCCCGGTGTAAAGAATAGAAACCCGTTTATACTGTAGCTTTCCTGTGAATACGAGTCCTGTATTCTTATTGGTACGAGTCCTGTCTAACATCACACATTAACACACATCAATCATCATCATCACACACCATCACACATGGTCAAGCATTAATACAAAACATCATCATCATCATTATCATCATCGTCATCATCACACAACACCACACGTCATCATACAACATCACACACCTTCACACAATATGACACATCATCACACAATATGACACATCATCACACAATATGACACATCATCACACTATATGACACATCATCACACAATATGACACATCATCACACAATATGACACATCATCACACAATATGACAAATCATCACACAATATCACACATCATGACACAATATCACACACCATCACACAATATGACACATCATCACACAATATCACACATCATGACACAATATCACACATCATCACACAATATGACACATCATCACACAATATGACACATCATCACACAATATGACACATCATCACACAATATCACACATCATCACAATATATGACACATCATCACACAATATGACACATCATCACACAATATGACAAATCATCACACAATATGACATCATCACACAATATGACACATCATCACACAACATCACACACCATCACACTATATGACACATCATCACACAATATGACACATCATCACACAATATGACAAATCATCACACAATATGACACATCATCACACAATATCACACATCATCACACAATATGACACATCATCACACAATATGACACATCATCACACAATATGACACATCATCACACAATTATGACACATCATCACACAATATGACACATCATCACACCCATCATCATCACACAATATGACATCATCATCACACAATATCACATCATCACACAATATGACACATCATCACACAATATGACACCATCACACAATATGACACATCATCACATAATATGACACATCATCACACAATATGACACACCATCACACAATATGACACAATATGACACATCATCACACAATATGACACAATATGATCCATCATCACACAATATGACCCATCATCACACAATTTGACACAATATGACACATCATCACACAATATGACACATCATCACACAATATGACACATCATCACACAATATGACACATCATCACACAATATGACATATCATCACACAATATGACACATCATCACACAATATGACACACCATCACACAATATGACACATCACCACACAATATGACACATCATCACACAATATCACACATCATCACACAATATCACACACACAATATGACACATCATCACACAATATCACACATCATCACACAATATCTACCCAGGAAGATCCGGGATAGAATTGATCTTCAGCAACCAATGCTTGTCGTAAGAGGCGACTAACGGGATCGGGTGGTTAGGCTCGCTGACTTGGTTGACACATGTCATCGTATCCCAATTGCGCAGATGGATGCTCATGCTGTTAATCACTGGATTGTCTAGTCCAGACTCGATTATTTACAGACCGCCGCCATATAGCTGGAATATTGCTGAGTGCGGCGTAAAACTAAACTCACTCATAGAATATCGCGTCATCACACAAGATCAAACATCACACACTTCAACACATTACATGTACCTCCAATCACACATCTCTAAACAACACCAAGCGACTCATCAAGGTACCACACATCACAGATCTTCACACAGCACCAAGCATCCCAGCCCATTACCTACTATGACGTCACACACCTCTACCGATGCTTTTCTACCAGTAATCCTCAGCGTGGAAAAGCACAGGAGTGGAAAATAGGGACGCGGTGATTTGTGCAAGCGGAAACGTGACATAAGTTTGTTCATCTGTTCACTCTGACAAATTTACTTCTCGTCATCATTGTATATAAGTTTTTCGGGACAGTTCCCCAGGATGTGTTTGACTCACACGTTCTGTTTTTCTCTTGGACGTTCAGGATTATTATTAACGACATTAACAGTTGTAAAGTATGGATCCAAAGTAATTATGTTTGTTTCCATGATAATTCTCTTACACCGTACAGCTGAAATAGTTCGATTTTGATTCTGGGTATAAGAACATAACGTACATCAAGGAAGTCTTTATGTACACATTCCTTTTGCAACCCAAACGTATAATCAGGTATATTGTGGCAAAGACCAGTACACAAGGGTTAAAGTAGGCATTTCCTGCAGCAAATGGAACGATTGGGATAACATGGTAGAAGTACAGACTCGTCAAGAGGAAGGGTCGTGGGAGATACGGTTTTATGTATGCATTTCCTGTCGCATATAGGACGAATAGGATAACCAGATGCTAGATGTTAAGAGGAAGGGTCGTGTGAGATTGGGTTTTGTATATGAATTTCCTATAGCAAATGGAACGATTGGGATAACTAGTTGGTAAAACGCCAAGAGGAAGGGTCATGTGAGATAGGGTTTTCTGTATGAATTTCCTATAGCAAATGGATTGATTGAGATAACCAGATGGTAAAACGCTAAGAGGAAGGCCTAGAGGTAAGATAGGGTTATCTGTTAGAATTTCCCGTAGCATATGGATTGATTGAGATAACCTGGGTCGATTGGTAGCACAAGCACAGACTGGTCACGATGAAGACTCATATGTGATGAATACAATGCATAGAGCATATTCGGTGTCACGCGCTGCAGTTGTCCGGAATAATGCTTCATTGACACACGAACGACAATAATACTTAGCTAATTTTGGGGGAACATTGAAGAGAATAATTAATTCCTTCTCTACAAAGATGTCATCGTCAACTCTCAGATCATGCAGCTAAGCGGAATGTTTCATTGGCTGTTTTACACATTTTCTGAATAAGACGAATAACTAATTCAAGCTCGCATTTAGTGCTGCTTCCGGCTTTTCATTAACATGTTCAATGCTTGTAGTTTCAAATTACACAGTTTAATCACAGGACATCACCGAACCAATAGTCGTCTTTTGAAGGTATAACTGAACTTCGCAACCAAAGGCAAAAGAGACGTTTTTCCTGAACAGATTTCTAATTACCAAAATTATTCATTCGTTTTCATAATCAATTACATAATTAACCGGTTTTAAGCTATGTTGATAATTATTTAAATATAATACTTTGTGTGTCCTCCATTCTTACGCTTTTGTTTTAAGTAAATGTTTTTTGTACCAATACACATTTCTGAACACTGCTTTTCCCCACACGTTGTTAGACTTATCTCCCTTTTTAGTACAGGATGGACATGGAGGTGTCTAAGAGGGAAAACATAAAGAGATACACTGACTTCAAACCTTGGTTTACCTTTAAGAGGACAAAGTGGCGCGCGCGGGGAACTGACCAAAGCAATGTTAACTTCATTCAGAGTTCGCCGTTATTCCCCAAACTGGTTCTTTTTCTCACTGTGCTGTATAACCCATTCTTGGACATATACTTGGTTGAAAATGTGGTCATTGTGATTTCTAAACTGGTTTGGGGTCTTATAAATGCATTCTTGGATCTTATTGAAGCAAAGAAATGTTTTCTTCGAAATCTCACGTTTCAATGCGATTGGGCATGGACCAAATGCGTGACAGATTCATGAGATTAAACGTTTCTCATGTTTGCTACTTTTGGTCCGATGTTAGAATTAATATACACATCCAGTACTGAAATTACTAGTCAGATGATATCATACCTGAAAAAGTTATCACGATAATGTGACATGGTCGTGAATTCACAAATGATTCATACTGTTCTGGTCCGGGGTAATCAAATAGCATCACACTGACAGGATTATCCAAACATGTCGATGTGCCACTTTGTAAAACACTCAAGGTAAAGCAAAGTGACAGATCACAAGGTGAACTAGGCGTGATGATACCAGTGTCTAACCACTCTAGTATATCACAGGTACTGGCCGCAAAGCAGCTCCCGGCAACGAACAGTCTTCTATGGTGGTGGAGACCGTTGAGAAGAAGCCCGGGGCCAAATCCAGCAAGAAGTTCAGAGGGGACGCCAGCAAGGTCACGTGCAAGGGGAATGGTCTGAAGAAATGCTTCACCAACAGACTTCTCAACATCACTGTAGACGTCAGAGATGCTGGTATGTATTTGTTTGTGTATGTAGTCTGCTGTTTGTAATTGCGCATTTACAGCTATATATAAAGCCTGCAAGTCTCGCGAGGCGATACTTCCGGTACTAAGCTGGTTCCCGGCTATGCGATATGCGAGACGGGGCCCAGCTTACTTCCGGTACCAGATTTCCAGTGACAAGCGTATATTCAAGAACCAGTTCTGGTTCCAAATTGCGCTCCCGCCAAATATGACTTTACTAGACCGGACCAAGTCTACAGCCATGCTTGGCTGTCACAGCTGTTGACAGTAGTAATAGCTAATTTAGGGGATAGTTAGATCGGAAATTTGTTATTCCTGCAAGGATTATAGGTTCCTTACTATCAACTGGCAGCCATGAGACCACTCGAAAAGGTATGAAACGTTGTTTGTCACCGGAAGTGTTCATGTCTCGCGAAGTGCCGTAACCTACTTACGGGTCCTATAGCAGAAGTCTTAAAATCATTCGAGACATGTCAACCAATGAACGCCGTAGGTTGTGTCCAACGCTCCCGGAGTATGATGGCGCAGAGTAACCGGACCTGATCACCCGATTCATTTGTTCCTACACAGTTTGTCACTGTTTGTCCATAGGTTTCGTGACCTGTAACATGTCGCCGTTACTTAACTGAAATACTATTCAAAACGGCATTTTGAATCAAACTCACTCACTTTCAATGTCTCGATTAGCATATTTTGTTTTCTTCCTTCCTACAGTACAATCAACAAATGTGGAAATACATAAATAGTAATGTAAACAATTCAGTTTGTCGTCCTTGTGTGGTGTTGTAAAATGTAATTAATATATTGATTTAAAGCGGAAATGTTAGTCTTTGCCTTTTCATAAACTCTTCATTCTGCGAAACCGTCCAAGTTTGTTTCTCAGTCTTTTACCATGACTCGGATGAGTCTGTTCTAAAAAGTCAGTCCTTAAACATGATGTTTTATTGCATTGCAGGCCAGGCCATGCTTAGCGTGGGCATGATTGGACCCACCGGCTTGTGTGAACCCGAGCTTGCTGTCAAGAAGATGACAAACACCACCTACCAGGTGAGCTACAAGGTGGTGGAGATCGGCGAACACGTTCTGCAGATCAAGTGGGGTGATGATGATATCCCCGGCAGCCCCTTCAACCTCAGCACATGAGCAGATACTTCTGATGCTTCTGCTGGTGGAAGACGTCGCCCACGTCCTTGACCTTTAGCAGCCTTCCCCTGCCACGAAACGACCACCGACCCTTATAGTTTCCTTCCGAACCCCGAACCCAAGCCCATGCACCGTCTTCCGGCAGAAATGTTACTGTTCCGTCATTCAGCTTCATATTTGAACGTGCGAATTTCCATATCACATTTCAAACTGCCATCATCTCTCTCAAAGAATTATCTGTGATGTGTCACATATATGCATGTTGTTACTTAGCCGAGACCGGCCTATTAACATAATGTAATGTACATAAAGATTTGCCGTGAGTTTTGCATGACATGCGTTCCCATTTACCACTAAAGTTGTTCCATAGCTTGTGATAATATATCTTTAAATTATTGTAATGAATCCTAAGGATTAGAATTCAGGTTATAAACAGGGTCTTGTTCCCTAAAGACTTGTGTTAATTGTACAAAGCATGCCAACGAGATGTTAAAGTGTTCTCAGTCTTTCCCTGGTGTATTCATTCTATAACCTGAAGTGAAGGCTCATTCATGTGTGTACGTACGTACTTCCCTTCGGCGTGGAATGTTGTGTAAGAAGACATTTAAATAATAAAATAGTTGACGTTAATGAGTGTCTCTCTCTTATTTACCATCCTTATCGTATGAGTCTGTAGTCTTTGTTTTCAGGCTAACTGCCGGTCGTTTACCTGGTTATAATAATTAATACGGGGGGCGTGGGGAAGCCTGGTGGTTAAGGCGTTCGCTCGTCATGCCGAAGGCCCGGGTTCGATTCCCCACATGGGTACAATGTGTGAAGCCCATTTCTGTTGTCTCCCGCGGTGATGTTGCTGCAACATCGCTAAAAGCTGGGTAAAACCACACACACTCACTCTCTATAATGCGGCACGTTATGCATACAATAAGGGTTACAAGCTTCCAAACTAAACTGAAACCATGCCTGCTGGACTGAAACCCCGCCCGTCACCCACTAGCGGCTGCTTCGAGTGAGGCGAGATGCGCAAGCCAGCCAATGTTGGATAGAGTCGAAAATATGGAATGTATAACGGACTTGTACCGTCGTAACGAACGCACATGCTTCACGTTCGCCTGAACAGAGCCTATGTGTATCCCACTGTGTATCCCAGACAAATTGATGTATTTGACTGACAGTACTGATTGACTGATTAGTAAACCTTGGCAAGCGTATTTCTTCCTCATTAGTACATATGATGTCTATAGGAGGATGAAACTATAATATATGTTATATTTGGGATTACACTTTCTCAGTAAGTGAAAAAGTGAAACTACTTTGCGAAAACTTATCTTATTTCACCCCTTTTTATCCATTCTCTAAGAAGTACACGTTCTTGTATATTTATGATTCGCTTAGTTTAACACACGCACGTCTTGTTCAGAAGTAAGAGTTTCAAGAAATGTCGTAGTTATCTGCCCCTTAGTTGTTCTCGTTGACACTTGGGTTCATTGATCCATGAAGATCCGGGTTAGAATTGATTTTCAGCAACCAATGTTGTCGTAAAGTTGCGACTAACGGGATCGGGTGGTCAAACTCGCTTTGGTTGACACATGTCATCGTGTCGCAATTTTACAGATAGATAGTCATGCTGTTGATCCCTGGATTGTATGGTGCAGACTCGATTATTTACACACCGATGCCATATAGCTGGAGTGAGGCAAGCAAGGGTTGGCAACAGATGAGGTCGAGTACAAGCTGCCAAATTGATAAGTTGTGTTAAATGATAGTGAACCCGTCAATACACTAAGGAGGAGGCCATAGCTGTAGAGGACCAACTTCCCGAGGCAAGGGAGATACAATACGCGGTCCAGTTTCCACGCTGTCGAAATAGGCTGTAATTTTGGAGTATGTTATATCATTGGCGGATCCAGAGGTGGGGTTCGAAACAACAACAACAACACACACACACACACACACACACACACACACACACACACACACACACACACACACACACACACACACACACACACACACACACACACACACACACACCACACCACACCACACCACACCACACACACACCTTTGAGATTGACATAAGACCACAATGAAGATTTTTTGTGTTGGCGGGGCGATGGGGGCTTCAGGGGGGCTCGAAAAACACACACACACACACACATACACACACACACACACACCTCTTCCCTTTTTAAAATTCCTGGATCCGCCCATGTACATTGTGGCTGGACTAAAAGTGTTTATGCATCGTCCAATCAAAATCGTGTAGCGAACCCGACATCTGCAGACTCCAGTCAGTAATGACTATAATATATCCTTATACGCATAAGGATCAACTTTATGGATGGACAACTTCTTTATTCGGATGATGCGACGTTTCGATACAGATTCTTGTATCGTTGTCAAGCAAGTAAATTTATTTCCGAATAAAGAAGTTGTTCATCCATAAAGTTTGTCCTTATCTGATTCACCAACTTCTAAACATGCCACTCAAAGAAGATATCCTTATACGTCAAAGGGACACAATGTCTAGCCCCATGTTGGCCTTGTATGTAAGCACGTGGAACCGAACAACTATATGCACAAATGATCATCAAGAGTATGAATATAAGATGATTTCCCACCGACGATTCTGCGATCATTTATTACAATATGGCATTGCTCCAAATTGCCACAAAAATATAACATTCGCGGGATTATTTTTTTATAAGATAACCATTAAGAGAATAAAACCTGTAGCAACAGTAGAATTCCAAAATACATGGCACTTTGTATCGGTAACAACTTCTCAAGAATCACCTGACGGCGGAGCAAGAAGTATCCTTGAAATGTCGTGACAGGATTTGTTATCCATCAAAAAGTGGCGTGGATTCACGTTATCCCATCTTCTAAATGCCTTTCAAAGACGTCACAGAATCATTTTGATGACTATTAGTGGTATGGCAAGTCATTGAGGACATCGTCCTTAATCCGTTATAGGGGCGGTGGGGTAGCCTTGTGGTTAAAGCGTTGGCTCGTCACGCTGAAGACCCGGGTTCGTTTCCCCACATTGGTACAATATGTGAAGACAATTTCTGTTGTCCCCCGCCGTGATATTGCTGGAATATTGATAAAAGCGGCGTAAAACCATACTCACTCACTAATCCACTATATTTCATATTAGCCTGTTCTGATAAATACCCGAGGATTACGCTTATAAATCAAAACTATCACATTGCCACAACCTACTTTGGCTACAGAAAACTATAAATAGCACATATACTTGGTTCATAAGGTGAGTCAGTTAAAAGGTGAATTATGCGGACTAGGAATTAAAGACACAGATGAATGTTAATGTGGACGTAAATATGAAAATGCATATAATTTTTCCTTTGAATGTGAAGTAGAAATAGACACGTTTCTTAGGAATATATGTAGCACAGTCCAGTATACACCGATTGATTTCTAAATCAAATGGATATGGGATTAAACAGCACACGATAATTTTCAAATATGCACAGGTCTGTATATGTGAGTGAATTTAGTTTTAAGCCGTGTTTAGCACCAATTCTGCAATCTCACGGCGGGGAACAACAGAAATGGGCTTCACTCATTGTATCCATGTGGGGAATCGAACCCGGGTCTGGTGTCTCCCGCCGTGATATTGCTGGAATATTGCTAACAGCGGCGTAAAACCGAACTCACTCATCTATTGTGAATAAAACAAGTTTAAAACAAAGACACTCGGGTTGAAACCGTGGGCAGGTATCTCGTACATAACACGGCAATTCAGTGTGAAGAGTTGCGTCCCTTAGGCAAAACAGAAACCGGAATCCTCCTTCATCAGACAGGAGAATAATGTAAGTGTGGCTCGCGTTTACCGTAAGAGGGGATTTTAAAAAAAATTTGGTAGCTAATATTCTCTCAAGACATAGACAAAATTTGCAACAGGAGAGTGTAATTTTTGGCAACAAACATTAAACACACAAACCATAACGAAATTGTACGGACTAAGCCCGTTACAGCTGAAACGAAATTCATGAAGGTATTGTACGAATGCTTCAGTGACTATTGAATGGCCAGACAACCGCTTCCTACTGATATGAAACTCGGTAATCTTTTTGTACTCTTTGCTATTCAGGAATTATATTATGCAAGTTATTTGCGTTTCAACATGTTGCACAAATGCTCAGATGAGTCCAAAGTCCAACCAATAACGTGTACAATGTGAATTATAACTATGCTGAAAGAGCAGTGGAGTGGAGTGGAGGTAAATTTTGAAGCTTGAATATCCCGACATCCAGACTTTGAGTTACCGACATCCTCGCGCGATTTTAAAAATGCTTACTCTTCAACACATAGACATTAATAAGCAAATTCAGTGCATTCAATGTATTCGCACCATCAAAGTTTATCAGTGTGCTAAATAATGTTGATTGTATACACGTGGAAGACTGCTATTTCGAAGGGAATAATCGCCAAGCGATCTTGTCTGCCGTCCGTTACCAGCATCCCCTTAGGTACTGGGATAAGGCCACATACTGTCTGAAGTACTGGTCAATGTATGAATCATATTTGAGCGAACAGTCACGGGTCACTTAAAAGTAAACCTTCTCAGCCAGCCATGTAATTAGTATGTGATGTTTCGAACTAACTTCAAGGAACTATGGACGGGTTGTCAACCGGAGTTGCTTCCCCTGTATCATTCTGGTGACGAACCTAACAGGCTAACACCGTTTGTCTTGACTACAGATCGCCATGAAGCTGTATTATTCCCGAGAGCGGCGTTAAACACGCAAACCTTCTACTGCATACTGTAGACGGTATGGCCGCATTAATTCCTTTTTGTATTAAGCAAAGAGCTTGTCTTCTTTACTGCAACAAACGACGCCTTAGCGGTACGGCAAATATTTTGTTTACTAACTCAAACCCTACCTCTAGCAAGGCAGAAATTGAATACATATTAACAACATAAGCCAAAGAAAGATGACAATTTTTTATGGATATACAACTTCTTTTATTCTGTGAAAGGCGACGTTTCAACAACATCAGAATTTATGTCGAAACATCGCCCTTCGCAGAATAAAAGAAGTTGTATATCCATAAAAAAAAATTCATCATTCTTCATCAACTCAACTTCTAAAATGCCACTCAAAGAAGTACATAAGCCCAAGTTGTTTTCTGATTATGTCTTCAGAGTAAAATGTTGAAACGTAAGTCTAAAAAGATAAAAAGTGAGACACAAACCTCTTTTATTTACTGTTTGAAAAACAAAACCCCCAAAACGGAAAAACAAATTGGTTGTTTGTGTCATTCATTGGGACTGTGTTGAGTGATCTTTCACAATTTGAGGTGCTTCAAGTCCAGTAAAGGTACCCTGTGAGGCTAAAGGGATCAGGCTTGTCAGATTGTGATCGATGTTCATGTGAGTCACTGGATTGTGTGGTTCCCATTCCTGATCATTCACAGACCGCTCTTATATAGGTTTAAGCAACACAGAAACAGTATAGTTATCATACTCATCATTAAAATGGACAAATTTGACCATAGTCCTCAAAACTATTTACACCAGAACTAAAGGATTATTGGTAAATGATTGTTTAAAGGGAGACTACTTCATCACTTGGCAGAACTGATGACAAAGTGAAGAAA